AATCCGATATAGCGAGCAGCGTTCCTCGTGTATGTCAGCTACAACCTTCAAGTTGTTTCACAAAAAAAAATCGCGGAGATTATACGGAACCAGGATTCCTGCAATGTCCACTATTTAGCTTCCGTTAATTCTTACAAAAATATATGAAAACTTTTGTATACGTTTCGTTATAAAGTAATTATTATACATTTTATAAAAATGTGCCATAGCGTTTTTTTTTTTGCTATTATATATACACATATAATAAAAATTGTATGAGAAAAACAGATTTTTTTCAGAAACAGATAATAGTATCAAATATAAATAAATTATTCTTAGAAATATCTTAAAAATTTAAGCCTTTATCTAAAGAGTATATAAGTTTATTATTCTTCCCTCTATTATCGTATACTTTATTTTCCGAAGATATCGAATGTGTACCCATATGAATATGTTAACAACAGGATGAGAAACACGATCAGCGAATCGATCAGTCGGTAAAAGAAACAAGCAAAAAAGGCACATTATTGCAAAAATAGTTCGTTGTCGATAAGAACGTCTGTAGTCAGAGGATGCAGTTGTCGCAAAATTGAGAGAGAGAGAGAGAGAGAGAGAGAGAGAGAGAGAGAGAGAGAGAGAGAAATGGGCGGGGGAAAGGGGGTGGAGGGCAAGAGAGAATTCATTAAGGTATGAATAATGCGTCTGCGATGCCAAGGCTGCTGCCGAGAGCACCACCATGCATACCATGGCCTGCCCAAGGCATGGGCGGAGGAGCATGTCTAAAATTAAAGCGAATTCGCTCCCTCCGCAACGTGGCTTCTGGGCGAAAACGTTCCACAGTACTCACGGTCGCCACGTGCTCTTCTTCGAAGAAGAGAAAGGAGGAAGATAGTGAAAAAAAAGAGAGAGAGAGAGTGCGGACGAAGGAAGAGCGAGAACAGTTCTCCCCGTAAAAACGTTCGAAAAAATCATTCGAAGTCGGCGATGTTATCCCGCGAGTTATTCGTGTATAGAAAGTTCAGTTTTCAGGCATTGTTAAAAATTCTTCTAAATTATTCTTTAACCAAAAATCGCCTTGAGCAAATTGTCATGGAAGAATGAATATATAAGAAAGCAAATTTTCAGACGCACTTTAGCTAAAAAAAAGCAGAAAATCTCATCCATTCTTGGAAGAAAAATATGATGACAAAAATAAACGATCGAAAGAGTTCTCGAAGCACGATCCTTACTGAATAATTTGTACGATACGTTTATCGTCCCCTGCCGCGATGTTCGAGCCTGTGTCCACAGCTGTTTCACAAACATAAGACTTCATAAATGCATACGCAATAAATTCGCAAACACCGCGGCGATATCTCATTGCATCATATAGCTAATCAAGATGCGCCGAAGACGAGTTCTAGCTTCGCAAATTGCGAGAGATGCCCGATGGCACAATCGCACAGTCAGCGAGAGATGCGAAACTTAATGAGCGACACATCAGGATTTATTTGTCGTCATAAAAATCGCGACAAAACTGACCAGAGGCTACGCGACGGGGGCAAAGAACGTGCCGAGACTGCAATGCGGTATAGAGACGATTATGGCACTCCGTGTATCTCGAAAATACATATGCGATTTAATTCGCGCTAAACAAAGCGAATAATGTGCGCGCCAGACGAATTTTATGACCGCCGCGCCGTGCCGCAAACACGGATGCGTCCCACTGTTAAATTTTTTTTATCGACAACGCACGCCTTTTCGGCGAAGAGCAATTTCCGGCGGCTGCTTTTAAGAAGGATTACAATGCTGAAGATTGCAGAGGACGTTATCAAACATGCGATAATATTTTACGAGAAGCAAATCTTTGCGCAATTTTTACGAAATTGAGATATAAGAATTAATCTTATCATTAAAATTAAAATATTTATATTAATTGTTATTTCAATAGTAACTCTTATATACTTATGTATATATTAATTTATTTGATCATTACTAATAAATAATATTAGAAGTGTACTGTGCGTAGTAAGTAATTTACAATTCTTCGATTCTTTCTGTGATAAAATGAAAATCGATTGTGATAAATCTCCGAAAAGCGTTAAGGAATATGTGTTTGTGGATTCGTATTGGTAAATATCAATATGTATCGGTTCATATTTCAGAGAACGTCATATTGATACGTACCTTTTACCGCCATGAAATGTCTACCGAAATATTTATTTATAACACGACGCTCTTCCAACTTGTCAAATATTGGAAAATACTTCTTCTCCACAGTCAAGACCAAGTGACAGTCGAAACTCCGCCGTATAAGATCGATCTTGCCCGCCAAGTCATACTTTCTCGCACCCAGCCAGAATTTTATTTCTCGTCGGTTACGTAAAACCACCAGGGCAAGGTGTATTTTTCCAGAAGGATGCTCCGATAGACTCATCGATAAATCGACGTAAAAAAAAGGCTCTGCGTCACGCGTGTGTGCATGAGAATCGCGCACGGCTCGCGAGCGGCGGTAGCTCGAAATACCTAGACCCAGATCCACGTCGTGCCGACAACGACTGTCTGTAATGCCGGCTTGTGTATAGGTGGCATGTAGCAGGCATGCACGAGGGTTTTCGAGTATCCGTCGTGGATGTGTGCCAGATGTCTGCCAAAGCCGCAACTCGGGATATGTTGTACGTCGTGGTAGCCAAGAAGACCCAACAACTCTCCCCGAAGAAGCCGATGACTGAGCGACAGTTGGTATTAACCACGCGCGACGAGCGAGATATACGGCTATCGAGAAACACAACTGTGTTTGTGTGCGTACAGGCCGGGGGGAGAAAAAAAAGTTTCGTAAATCTTCGACCACGATATTCTGAAAAATGCTACGGTTGTGGAAAAATATGCGTCAGCGTAGGCATTAAAGGAAAAATAAAGGGGATCGTGATGTCACCAGCCACATGAGAACTGCAGAAAATTCTTCAGACAACGCGACGCGTCTCGACGTCGCCGAAGAAACTTACGAAATTTTGAAGGATTCGTATCCGCAAACGAGATACAGAGATAGAATGAGAATGCTCGTGCCGAAATTCAGACTGACGGCTGTCGCCCTTTTCGCACGTGAGGATTTTATTAATCTTCGTTGATTCTTGTTAAAAGAGAAGAAACATAAATAAAACAAGTTTTCATAAAAATGGTAAATAGTATACAATACATAGATGTGATCAACGCCATAAATAAATGCTAATATAAATTATCAAATTTAAAAAAATCGAGGAAATATAAAAATAAAAAGCTTTCAAAACATGTAAACAAAAATTAATGATTTCATAAACTCTCTTTCTGTTAATATTTCGAATAAAATTACTGAAGGTTTGAAAGCATCGAATAATTCTGGAAGCAGTATATCACGAAAAAAAATGCTTTCAACACATGATTCTTTATAATTAAAGAACGGAATGTAATGATGAAATGATTATTTTTCTCATAGCTCGTCATTACATTATATTCAAACCGTTTACAAAGTAATTTCGTGAAAAAAAGTTAGTGTTAATATTAAATATCAATCAAAAATATGTTCAATTGGACATTTTAGTAGATAATGTGATAAAATGCCTTTCCAAGAGAACTATAGAATTAATTTGCTATTAGAATCTTATTGTTAAACTCTGGATACGGAGAGGCTGTTAACCTAGTTACGTGAACCATGCGGTGTGCTTACGTTTCCTACAGGCATTAATTAGCTAATTGACCGAGTCGCACGGCTAATTAGGCATCGGGTGACTACGCCTACGAAAATAATAAAGGGTGCAGCCGTGCGTAGGAGGTAGTAAAAAACGCGAGAAAACGCGGCACTGGAAGAAAACATCGAGGAGAAACGAGGCGGCGAGTCGTGGAGTGAGGAGGAGCCGGATGGGAGAATAGGAGGAAAAAAAGATGAGGCGCGAATCGCGCGCATCGTTCACAAAGAAAGAAACGGGTGCGCTAGATGAGGGGAGAAAACGGAAAGGGAGGCTGAATAAAGACGCTGCAGCAAAGTCCAAGACGGCGCGCGGGCAATACCAGCACGGAGGAGGAAGAAGAAGAGATCCTGCTCTCCAGAAGCAGTCGACGACTTTACTCGAGATATTAATTTCTCGTTAAAACTCGCTCGCCAAGACTCGCCAAGAGGAGGAGACCAAGACTGCCTTGCTTCGAAACGGCACGAAAGAGAAGTCGGAATGACGGGGAAGAAACGGCGGACGAGCATGCCGGCAAAACGGACGGCGGGAGGAGACGGAGTGAAAAAGAAGGCGGTAGCAGCGCGGCGGGAGAAAAGTGCCGTGGAGAAACTCGTTGCGCGTCTCCATGGCGAGGTACCGTCGGCGAAGGCTCCTCGCCATGGTGACGCAAGCGACGATCTCCTTTCTCGCGTCGGGGAAGTAATTACGGCGGGCGAAGCGACAGTCACCTGAGAGCACTTTATCACCGGCCATCGTAATCTGGTGCGCCAGCCGGACAGTTCGGGGTCCCGAGTCGCAGCGATGGACAATTTGCAGCACGAATAACGTGCAGTGCGCTAGTTTAATGACCGTCTGTACTTTTGTCAGCACCTTGCGGAGCCGTTGCCGGTCATTACTAATGTCGCCAGATCGTCTTCGTGATACTGCTGGCCGAGACTTTGTTGTCAAATCGTTGGCTGCAACATAGATCATGCCGAGCCCCTCGAATCTCTTTGATTTTCAAATGTGCGGAACGAATTTGCAATTTATTTTAAGAATACCATTTAGTACATTTAATGTAATATGCCAACGATATATTCCAAATGTTTCCCTTCCTAGGAATTAATTTAAAATAAGTTCTTCCTCTTTGTAGAATAAAACGACCAACAATTGAAAGCTATACATCATCGAAATATGTCATTTTGCGACCTATTCAGTTGTTATATGCATATCAATCTTCGCAATAACAGTTAATTCGAAAATAGGTTGCGCAATTGCTAGTAACATTAATACTTGCGTGATTAGCAATGCCACGAAAGAACGTAAGGGAATAATGACCCGACGCGAGCGCTGCCATAATCGCCGCAGGATGTCACGGCGTATTTCAATTCGCCGCCTTCGCGTTCACGATGTCATTAAGGTCGAGTCGCATTCGCTCGCCGCGGGTTCGCCGCGTTAAAGCGGGATTCGTCGCGCTACGACTTCGTTACCATGACAAACGCAGCGCAATAACAATAACCGCTATCGCGGTACTTTCCGCGGCTGAAACGGCTGATTTTACTATCGCTCGTCGTCGTTGCGGCGAGCATTTTTACCGGGCGCAAAACCCGCTCAGACATCGATACAGCGGTCATAATTTATCGCCGGCCAGCGTTGGTAGCCCGTGGACCATCGCTCGCGAAGAATGGCCAGCCGATCGCATAAACATCGAGGTATCCTCGCAAGGAAAGAGAATTGAAGCAAATATAATACATTATATAGATTTCGAATAATTTTTTGTCGCTTACTAATTTGTATTTCAATATACACAGAAAAATCTATCTCTCTATATATCTTCAACTCATTATCGTCTTTTTGTTTTCGTGATTAAACATATAGAGATTGATTGTTCAGGTATTTCTACTGCAGCAAACTGTGAAATTCGTTAAGATTTATACATTTTATTTAAAAATCTCGTATAAATGTCCGTAATACATTTTGTTAGAGCTGATCTTACCAGCGTTAATTATTAAATTAGTCATTCCTTCTCTTCTTATCAAAATTTTTTATTTTATCTTCTTTTGACACACACAATATCATGCTAACTTGCTCTCAAACGTATACCGGATTGTCCAGCGATAACCGTCTAGCCGGCATGAATTACGAGAATATTATCCGCATATTATTTTTCTTCGATGACAAATTTTCCGTGAAAGGAAGAAAGAGCGGGTCGTGTGGACGAACACGAGGTTATGAAAAGCATGGAGGAAGAGGAAAACACTGGAGCACAAGAAGAGAACGAGACCCAGGACGAGCGAAGCGCCGGAGCGTATACGCCAGCCGGGCGGAAGTACGGAAAACGACGACCGGCCTCTTTTTCCTCTATCCGGTTTGAATTACTATCATCCCGCCGAGCATTGTCTATTGTGGCGGAGAATTATTTTATTATCGCTCGGTCGGCCGGGCTCAAATGCTCTCGGAGGGGGCCTGTGAGAAGGAGACGAGGACTGGAGAGAGGTGCGGACGGGAAACCGAGTACGCGAAGAATGACTGTGCAGCGCCCGCGATTCCACGATTTATTGATTTTACGAAGGAAAACCACAGGTCCACTTCGAAAAACCAGCGATAATTTATCGAAAAGAGTCGATATCGTTAATTAATTCTTTAATGATATATTTAGGATAATGTTCGGTAAATTTCGACGTCGAAATGATAGCAGATGAATGTGTACAAATGCGCGCGGTGTTCATTTTATTAACGAATTTATCATTCTTGTATTTCACTCGTGTCACATAAAATACAAAAAAGAATATTTCCATTGCCATGAAGTACAAGATATATTTTACTTGAGAATGAAATTCCAGAAAATAATTCTTTATGTCTCGCTGAAATCTTATATACCAAGCGTTATGTTTCTCGTAATTTTATACTTCGTTGAAATCTTATGCCAAACATTACGTTTTAAAACCACCAGAAACTACGATAATTTACCGAAGAAAAAAGACGGACATTTACCTTCGAAGATAAATGGCCGGTATTTTTCGAATCATACGAAAAACGCGACGGCGCGGAGAGAGCCACGCGGAGAAAAATATCGCGCTCCGTGCCGCGTGTTTAATTACGCCCAGCGATTTTATGATTCCTGGGACGATTTGTAAGGACGTTTCCGCGTAGCTTCGCGCGAGAGGCAGAGGTAGATTATTAGTGAGGTGCTGCAGAAGCACGCCAACACTAGCTACGGTCTCGCATTTTTACGGTATCCATCGGGGAAGCGTGTGTGCGCGGAAAGGTATCTGACACTGCCTCCTACTAAATGTTTTTTGTGATTTACAGTCGTGTAAAGTTACTGCCGCGCGCATCAATTTCGCCCCGCGGTGTGCCTGCGGTAATAAAGCTGATACTGCTGTCAGAACTGCCAAGATATCCCTCTGCCAGCAAATTCGCTACTCCCCTCTTAATTCCTTTCTGAATTTATTAAATCGCTCGATCATAAATGATAATTGTTGATAACGCGGACGATATTTTTGGCAAAGATAGTTAGACGTTACCTGACTGTTTACATTGTTACTTATCGAACAGCGACAGCAACTGTGACACGGTTATTAATTATACGAGTAATAGCTCTGTCAAAGCTGGCAACATGTTGCCTGCTAGTAATTAGATTGCTATCTCGACAAATATACTGTGTTCTGACTCCCTCCGTATATATATCGTATATACGATATAATAAACAGAGTTCTCGGTTATATGATTCAGTACATTTCAGTAATTTACTCCGTAAGTGTAAGCGTGTCGATGTCACGTCGATGTCGCGACACGGGAATCCCGAAGTGCACCGGAAGCCAGTACGTCATGCGTTCATCCGGCGCGACTGCAAGCCGATAATAGCTTTAACGAGCATTAAGAGCGCAGCGCTTCGATATTAATTAATGTTGACGCATACGTGCGTGCGCATAAAAATATCCGCCGCGCTATCACCACTTGTTAAATCGATGGAACCGAAAATATCTGCACGCCAGGTCTAGCGCGCATTTCCCGTGCGTGCGTCGCATGCGCTCGATGCCATGCCGTGCCTCGCGCACGCATGCACGCATGCTGCACGCACGCACTCACGTTTGCACGCGTACGGCCGCGGCACGATCACGTGCACGATCCCGAAATGTACAGGACACGCGGTAGAGAAGTGCAGAAACGTAGTAACGAGCTCGGCGCACCATAACGAAAACATTGTGCGGCGTCTACTACCGTATCGATATCACGCGTGTATCGTATTTCCCGGGGGACGATGATCCACGCATGTATGCACGTGTGCACGGACGCACGCGCGTACTCGCGTGCGCGTATCGGCCTTCACCAAATTAAACCCCCGTAGCTTCCTATCGCGTTACAACTGTTGTGTCTTTGGCCGCTGTGTTTCGGGCGGGCAACGCAGCAAGTTTCGTGTGCTCAACGCGAATGAGCGTGGTACGATTGATATCGGATACGAGATACGGAACGCGAAAGTATATAGTAACTCGTCCATCTAATCCTTCGAGGAATAATGTTGGCCGTTGTCATTTCGTTTTTTGTTTTTTTTTTTTACGAGTAACAGTACGACAGGAGAAGAAACGGGGAATTCAACTGTAATTCCCTTCCCCCCTCTCCTCTCTTTCTCTCCCTCATCTATCTCTTCACGCACGCACACAAAATCCGGTTATGATTTCGCATATACGAGTCGTAAACCGAGTGCCGCTATTCATGCATAGGACAACTTCGATAGTAACGTGGAAATATTAATCTGACTGCACGCGAGAGGCACGATTTGTGTCCCTGGGTCTTCTCTTCTGAATGGCATGCGATATACGCTGAGTACCACGATGAAGGAGGCTTTATTATCCCAATTAAATCTCGATGACAGCCAGTTCTTGTGTTAAGAGTCAAAGACAAAAAGTATTATAAAATATGTATGGTAGTCCAGAATGTATGGTAGTATAGAAAAGAATCGAATAAATGTTCGATTGTTTTATCGAACATAAGTAATTTCCAAGGTAATTTCCCATCTGCATAATAAAAATATTGTTTTGTTTAAAAAATAAAAAAGATTCCATCTCTTTAGAGCTCGAATTTCTGATGACTCAAGTTACTTTCGTAAAGTTTCAAGTTTCTTAGAAGTTCCGAAGAACTGTCGTTCTATATCAATCATCAAGAAACAGGACAGTAAATTGCAGCCAATACAAGGAGTATTGCGTTGTACTTCCGAGAAGTTAAGCCGTGAATAAAGTTTAATTTCGTTTAACGTTTAAGAAGAAGTCAGTTTATATATATATATATATATATATGCGATAAGACATTTGCCAAATGTTATTTCAGATGTCAGTAGGTCGGCTCGATCAAAACTCAAGTGGCAATATCATTGACGTTATGCGATATACCGGCGCAAGCAGTCATTACGGTGTCCGCAAACGCTCACGTGCATTCGCGTAGTACCTATAATACGCGGGACAGCTAGCCGCGTACGCCAGCAAGCGATCAATATCTGTTTTCCAACTTCTCGTCTCGATTCCAGCCACTCCATCCGTCCGTGTCGCCGCCGATGCCGTTGCCACGTATGCGGCGACCACGATGCAGTTTCCCCCTGACAGACGAAGCATCCGATGACGAGAATGTCCCACGATGGAGACTCCGATTCAATTCGAGTAATTAGCAAACGGTATAGATAACGACAAAGAAGAAATAGAAAGATGGTAAGTATATCGCTCGTGCAATTCAATACACAAAAAACGCACGCGCATTGACTGTATCATTACAGTATTCTTGTTACAACATCTGAAGAAAATGTAATTTATATAAATATAAATTTTATCACTGTTCAGTTACAACTGTTAGCCGAAATAATCGAATGTAATACAGATATTAAATTTGTTTCCAAAAAAGGAATAGAGAATACAGTAATATTCAATATTAGATCACACGAAAAGCTTAACAGAACGTGAAGTATGTGTAAAGAAAAGTAAGAACTACCCAGGAAAGCTATTATAGCTAGATATGATAAAATATCGACTGGGAAAGTAGAAATCATTAGAAAAATATGTACATTTCTTATCTAAAAAAAAACAATTACGACAAAATATCTAATCACTTGAAATTTCTAATTTAAACAAGAAATGAAATGCAATCGATGCGTAGTGCATCGCAAAGCGAATATAACATAAATATTAGCAGAATCGAGACGAAGGAATCTATATGTATATATGTGTATGTATGTGTGTGAGAGAGAGAGAGAGATAGGCAGTGTGTGAAATATGATAATTACATTGCATAGATAACATCAAATTGCACTTGGGAATACTTAAATGCACATTTTCAGTGATCAAGCAGGCGTTGAAACTAGCATCGCGGCAAAGGGGAAACCGATTACTCATCGAAGTTTCACCTAATTTGGTCGGTACTATTGAAATATTAATAGAATCGACGTGTTTAATCTATCCCCCAGACGACGAGTCGAGCGGTAGAAGGCCAGACGGGAAACGGACACGAGAGATTGCAAACTATCTAATGGGTATTTACGACACAATTAACAGATGCAATCACGTCTAATTAATTATTAATACATGCTGCTAATCCTACATTTCTAACGTACAAGATTCGCGAAAATCTTATCATGCATATTATCAAAAGAAATGTTACATGTTTTCCAACATTACATTAGGATCTAGATACGAGACATGTGGTTCCTAATGAACTGATTTTCGCGATAACGAACATTGCGACGAACGGTTGGTACAAGGAAATGGCATGCGACCTTGGAAAAATATCGCATCGTCGTAGTCGTCGTCGTCGTTGTTGAAAGAAATAGCAGTCTCGTTTTACTGCTCTTTGACGCATTGTTTATCAACGAGATTTATCAGTTGCGCTTTTCTCTGTAATAACACGGCGCGTACTAATTTATTTAGATTTCATTCATGAAATTAAACGCGCTGGCTTCGTATGTGGCATCGTTATGCGATCGGCGGACGCATATATACACGACCGGCATCGTGTTCGTCTTAAACGTCCCCTGATACTGGCTGATACCACACGGGAGAAATACCAATCGTGCGTTCTCGCCGTTCGATAACTTTCAAATGCGCGAGACAGCTTTCCAATCTAGTTCATTAACATCAATGATGCTCCGCTGCAACACAACGCTCAAGATATCCCAGTGATACACATTCCGTCAATTCAATATTGGTATTATTATTAGATATTAATACCTGAAATCGTAGACAAACAATATTAAGTAGGACACGTGCATTAATGATTTGTACTGATTTTCATAGCGAAAGCTTCTGTAATTATTATAAGCAACACTCGCGACTTTAATTCATTTGCCTCTACAGAAATTAACTTTCCTTAAATAATATCAAAAGCATATTTGTAGTATTCTATAACGAACAAATATTGGAATATTCTATTGCTTAAGTATTCCCTCATGGAAAAATTGAGCGATATCTATTTGATTTACGTCGAATTCTTTGAAGCGATAAAGCGATAAAATTAATCAAAGACACGGAAAAGCTATCTGCCGAATGACAATACGTATCATAAGAAATACAATATCGTGATTGACGTTCAAGTGCTATGCGATACGTGAAAATCGTAAAATCAAGCTCTGTTTTCAATAATCTCGAAGTGGTGACGATTAAAAGATACTTCTTCTTTCGTTATTATTTGTAAAATATGCAAAAATGCACCGAGGAAATATACTGCATGTTCAAGAAGAAAATAAAAAATATGCATCGTAATGCACTTTTTCTCTCAAGATACTAATCATCTAAAAAAGCAGATTCCGACGGTTGCATAGCTTCCAGATGTTCTCACGAAATTCCATGTTGTTAATGCAACGCCTTTCAACATCTAGCCGCCTGCGGCGTAAA